TCTGGTCCTTGGAGATGCTGCCAGCTTGTTTCCCAAGGAGGTTCAGGTCAGCCAGGGAACGGAGACCCACAGCACAGGCTGGGCCAGCCCTCTTTGTCCTTAAAGCCCTCACTTGATGACAAATGACAATGTGCAACCCCAGGGAAATCTGTGATATTTGGGAATGTCGTAAGCTAAGGTCGTTCCACTTTGTCAAAGGCCCTTAATGGAAGGTAAGCTGGCCTTGATGGGAGGCGACTTCCCTGGCCCAGGAAGGCCTGCTCCCGGCGGTTTCAGCGGTTATGTCAGCCTCTCAGATAAAGAATGACCCAGAGGTGACTCAGAGGTCACCCAGTCCGTCCCTGTCCACCAAACACAATCACCCCCAGGTCCTCCCAGCAGAGAGGGCACCTCAGCGTTATTACAGCCTTTCCGGAGAGAAGCCATTGCTTTGGCTCACCCACCCTTGCCCTTGTACCCAGCGCTGGGGTGGAAAGCAGGAGAGGCCATGAGGCAGGTGCTCAGGCAGCTCTCGGAGAAGGATGCTGAGTTCCAACAAGCCGTTCCTGATGCAGACTGATGGTGTGACTGTCAGCACGCACACTCCAGGTCATCAGGAAAGCTGCAAGGCGACTCAATAATTTAGCAAAATAATTCATGTTCCCGGAATGCAGCCTATTTTAATAAGCAGCCGTGCGCTCACCCAGCCCCACTGGTGATGGACGGCATCCGTCGCCTCCAAGACCCCGGCAGAGCCATACCTCAGGGCACGCTGAGCTCTGGGACAAAGCTTGATGAGGCCCAGAAAGGGGGCACATAAACAGCATGAGGACTCACATCCGTGCCCCCATCTCTCACGGGAGCACAGGCAGATCCTTCTCATTTCAGCAAGAGAGGTTGTGTCATCTGCATAATGAAGATTGTTGATGAGGCTTCCTCCAATCCTGATGCCACAGCCTTCTTCATAAAGTCCAGCTTCTCAAATGATTTGTTCAGCATGCAACAAGCAATAGCATGATAGATGGAGAAAGACAGAAGTTGTTGAAGATTTTATCTTGCTTGAATCCACAAGCAACACCATTGGGACCATTAAGCAGGAAATCAAAAGAAGTATCGCATGGGGAAAGTCTGCTGTCAGGGACCTCTCCAAAGTGTTGAAGGAAGTGATGTTAGCTTAAAAACTAAGATGCACCTTATTCGAGGCATGGCCCTTTCAATCACCTGGTGTGCATGTGAGCGCTGGACAATGAATCAGGATGACTGAAGAAAGATCAATGCCTCAGAGTTGTGATGCTGGAGAAGAGTGCTGAGTGTCCCGTGGATGCCAGAAGAACAGATATATCTTGGAGACAGTGTAGCCAGAGTACGCCTGAAAGTCAACAATGGTGAATCTTCATCTCACAGACATGAGGAATGTAGTTAGGCGAGGCTATTCCTTGGAAAACGATATCACGCTTGAAAAGGAAGGGGTCAGAGAAAGAGAGGAAGACCCTCAGCGAGGTAGACTAGCATAGTGGCTGCAACAACAGGATCAAGTGTATCAGAGATGATGAAGATAGCACAGGATAGGACAGGGTTCAGATTCAGATCTGCTTAAAGGGTTGCTATGGGTCAAACCGGACTCAATGGCACTTAACAACAAAAACAGGCAAGTAATTCTGATAATGGCACCAAACTGAGACAATTGCAAAGATGTATTTGGAATATCATTTAGACTCTACAGAGACTTGCATTGTATTTGGCCTCTTTTCTCATTTCACAATCAAGATCTACAGGATGAAGGTGACGTAATGACTAAGGACCAACCTTCTCACAACAACCATAAAAACAGAAGAAAATTGTAAATGGTTTAAGGCATTAGAGAGAGAACAAAAGCAACGAGAGTGGTGTGGGCACTTGGTAGAAGAGAATGGCACTGGATGAGTTTAGCTTGAGGACAGGACTGAGTCAACAACATTCTGGGTGGTTAAGATAAAGTAACAGAACAAGGACAAGTTCAGGTGGTCTTGGCAGTTAAAAAAATGAAGAAAAGAAAAAGATCCCCCCCCCAAAAAAAAGGGCCAACAAGGTGTCTCAAGTTGTTTGCAAATTATCTTCCAATTTCCTGTTCTAAATTATGTGTGTGGGGGTGGGGTGTGTGTGTGTGTGTGTGTGTGTGTGTGTGTGTGTGTGTGTGTGTGAAACAAACTACAAAATGTCTTGCGATGGCTGTAAGTACTGAGCTTTCAGAGACCGTCATCTGAGTTCAGCCAAGTGAAGTAGTTACTAAAACAAAGACCAGCAAAATAAAAAACAAACCAGCCAAACTCCAAGGAACATAACGGAATCTCAACTCTTTAGCATGACACTCACAATACCCAAGTTGCAACACAAAATTACATGGCATACAAAGAAACTAGAGACGCTACCTGTCCTCAAGAGAAAAGGTGATCAGTAGAGACCAATCTTGAGATAACTGAGATGTAGAATGAACAGAGGATTTCAGAGCAGCCTGCTTGGAAGAGCAGAGGATCAGTGCAGGTGAGGAAGACTCTGGATGAGATGGACTGTCTGTAGCAATGGGGTCAGGTGTGTCAGAGATGGTGAGGGTGGCTTGGGATAGGGCAGGGTTCCGAGCCGCTGCTCGCAGGGTCGCTGGAGTTGTGGTTGACTCAACAGCACATAACAACAACAACAATAACTATAGCTATGCTTTTTAAAATACATCATTTCATTTATTTTTGTTTTGATGCTGTTAATATATACAGCAAAATGCACAGCAATTCAACAGTTTCTACATACACCATGTAGAGGCAATGATCACATTCTCGGAATTTTGCAACTATTCTCACTCTTCTATCGGTTGTTCCTCCTCCACTAATAATCACTTTACTGCCTACTAAGAGTCTTATCTAATCTTTTCAGTTGCTGTTGTAATTTGATGCATGTGGACAGTTATTAAAAGAGCATGATGTGGGGGTGGGCTTAGTCATAGGGTTTCACAATTTGATGGGTGGAGGGAAGGGGGGATAAAGGAAAGGGGACAGAGCTGGTGTGAAGATACAATGTATAAGACCTTTGTAAGCAAACCAGTATAAAATAAAAAAAAAAGAGCATGATGCTCAATGTAGACCTTTATTTATTTTCATAAGGTAGGCCTTTCTAACAGGCTATATACTCCTGTTTGTTTTTTAGGAAGCTCAGGTGGCTCAGTGGTAAGGAACTGTGCTGCCAACAAATAGATCCATGGTTTGAATCCACCAGCTGCTCCACAGGAGAGAGACAAGCTGTTTCCTCCTGCCTCTGAAAAATCAGTGTAGGGTCAGTGAGCTACGAGCTGGTACCACTCAACTCAACAACTAATCTGTGTGATCTTCAAGTGACTTCATAGGGATGTTTAAGATTTAAAGATTATCTCAGGATAATAGTTTAGGGGTTCATCCAAGCTTCCTGGCTTCAGTATATGATAAATATGCTTAACATCTGTAGCTACTATGGCTTTGTTATAACAGCATGGTGGCAGCAAAAATTCAAAAGTAGGATTTTGGCTTTTCAGTGGGGAGCAAGATCTCCCACTCATGTTGCCCCACCATGATTCTTGCATAACTCCCAAAGAAGCACTGAGTTCACAAAGGAAAAACAAGAGAAAAATCTGAAGTGCTCATCTGCTCATTTCCCACTCTGTAAATCATGACACTACCTCTTACTTTTCTCCATTTAACCTCACAATTCTCTAAGTATTTTAATATTTTTGAAAAGTCAACGCCTTTGAGTTGTGGTGCTAGAGAAGAGTACTGGACATCTACCATGGACTGCTAAAAGAACAGGTCTTCCCTAGGGAGAGTGAAACCAGGTTGCTCCTTGGAGGCAAGGATTCTGAAACTCCATCTCACTTTGGGCCTGCTGCCAGGAGGGACAGTCTTTGGAGAAGGACATCATTCTTGGAGGAGAGAAGGGTCAGCACAGGAGAAGATAACCCTGGATGAGATGGACTGACACAGTGACTGTGGCAACAGGAGGGACGGGCGGGCAGGTATGTCAGAGATGGTGCTGGATAAGGCAAGGCTTAGAGCCACTGTTCATTGGGTCACTAAGAGTCGTAATGTCTCAAGGGCATATAACAATAACAACTGGCATCTGCATGGCGGGCCAAAGACCACTATGTCTGATGGATGGGTATACTGGGAATCTCTAAATAAAATGACTTGCCCATGGTCATCCAGCAAATGGTACCCTCTCTCTCTCTCCCTCTCCTTTTTCCAGTGACATGATTAGAAGAGTGCTTCCCCAAATCAGGAGAGCAGTGGCTGGGAGTAGAAGAGCGACAATGGTTTGCAGCAGGGCTACAGAAAAGGGTGCAGGATAATTATGTGCAACTGTTGAGGCAGAGCTCTGCCCAAGGGCAGACTGGCCAAGGGGCCCACAGGTTACCGAAACCAACCTTGCGCCCTAATCTCCAAGCCAAAGGTCTTGTCAGGGGGCTGCATTTTTCCTGAGGAAGACAGGGTTGCCTTGGTTGGATTTGTCCCAGAAACAGACGCTGAAGTGAGGATCCGAGCACTATCGAAAGGTCATTCCAGGAAGCATTGGTGAGGGAAGGGGGAAATAAGACAGGACGGAGCAAAGAGTCAACACAGGAAGTGTTATTTAGCAAGTTATCACTTTGGGGAGCGGAAGTTCGATCCCACTGGGGACTTCTAGGCTCCGGGGTAGAATACACCTCAGAAGGGTCTCCTTTACCAAAGGGTAAGGAAGGTGGGCCATCCATCCACTAAGCCCACATCTGTCGTTAGGTGAAGGATGCCTCTGAGAGCATCAACTCCCTGCACACCTGCACTGCCTTGCCCACACGCTTCCATGGCTTCAAAGCAAGATTTATCAGGACAGAACAAAACAAGCATTCAGTGCGTCGAGTGAGTGCCGAGGGAACAGAAGCAATGCGTCAGCATCACCTGCCACAGGGCCTGCTTTCTATCTGGCCCGAGCGCTCCAGGTGAGCCAGCTGCAGGCCTAAGGCCCTGTCATGGAAGGGAAGTACTCACCTATGTCTGGTACACTTGAACCAGTTGAGGATGTCCGTACACCGTGTGTAGTAGATCTGGTCAAAAGGGTGAGCATACGATTCCTGGACAGTCACAGCATAGCTGAAAAGCAGAGAGAAGCAAGAGAATGGTCAGTACGTTGTCAGTAGCTTAGATGATACTCAGAATGGGATCACCCACCCAGGGGCAGCCGGGACCCTACAGCCAAGTGAGGGCAAACACCTCCCCGCCACCTGCTGTCCTTCTCCAGCCCAGAGGTTCTCAGAGTGAAGGCAGAAAAGAGAAAACAAGATTCCTTAACCCCAAGTTGGATGTAGGGAGCCCTGGTGACCTCGTGATAAGGAGCTGCACTGCCAATCTGCAGTCATGCAGCCTGAATCCACCGGCGGCTCCACCATAGAGAAAGGGGCAATCTCCTCCCACGTCTCTGAGAAGCCGCTGGAGGATCAGCTGTGGGTCAGTTCTCACTTGACAGTTCGTAACAACAAGTTGGATCTAGGATACACCTCCCACTGTTCTTTATCTCAGCTCATTTCTGAAATTCAAGTTCCCTTGCTCATTAACAGAGAATGACGAGAGGAGGGCTGGAGTTTAGTCTGAGTTTCTGAAGAGCAAATCCATGTTTAGAAATGCTTTACGATTGCTCTGATCTTTACTGTTGTCAAAGCACACACACGGACACTGATCCTAGCAGCAATTCCGTGAAATAAGTGGTCCATTTTATAGACGAATGAACTGAGGCTCAATGAGAGTCAGCTGCCTGTTGAGGCCATACATCTGGTACCAACAACTGCTAATATGTGTTCCATGCCCTGTATTCGATGTTTTTAAAAAAATTATCCCTTTTAATCCTCACACAATCACATAAAGTAGCTGGAACTGCTATCCTGGTTTTAAAAGGTAAGGAAACTGAGCACCAATCAGAGGACAGGTTAGTTCTCCAAGGTCACCCAGGTGCCTTCAACTCTATTCGGTCTCTATTAATCCTTGGGGTTCACAGAGGACATGCCCATAGACCTCCAGATACAGGAAGTACTTCATTATACTGCCTGTTAGCCGTAAACCAGGACCAGCAAGTCGAAGTTGTAGAAAAGTAGACCTGAGTTTAAGTAGAACAAATCTTTCTACCTACTCATACCTGGCAGGGGTGTGAAAAATGACGCCAGAGCCCCTAGTGCTGAGAGCGGAGCCAGGATGTTAAAGCGAGGACTCCCACTTCCTGTGTGGGCTGCAGAGAAGACCTCAGTGGAGATTTCAGAAATTAATTTTAAAATAGGTTGGTATTATTGAATGTTTCCCCCAGAAGGCTCCTTGGCCTGGGCCAGATGGCTGGGTCCAGCCTATAAAAGCGCTTCAGCTTTGCCTGAGGAAATTTTTCTGGTTTCCTTACATGGAGGTGGAGCCCGCCAGCCCCCAAGATAGGTCCACAGTGGCCTCGCTGATGCCTGGAAGGTCAAGGAATCCAGAAAGAGGAGTCTGGGAGCAGCCAGTAGCCTAGGGGATGGTGGGAAATGCTGTTGCTTTGAAGCACCATGAACATAAGGAATGAAGGGCCTCAGTGAACACACATCAGCCTGCACACATCCACGCAGACACGGCCCGGGCTAAAGGCTTGGGGAAAAACAGACAACCTGAGAGTCACCCCCAATTTCCCAATGTTAACTTCCCAATGATCTGGAATTATGCGGTTCTACCTAATGTCTCAAGGGTCCCTGGGTGGCACAAATTATCTACATTTGACTACTTCCCTAAAGGTTGGTTGTTCAAACCCATTCAGCAACTCCACAGAAGAAAAGCTGCTCCCGTAAGAACACTGGCCAAGGGGAGCTCTGGTGGCCTAGTGGCAAGGAGCTGCAACTACAATCCCAGAGGCACACGGTTCGAATCCACCAGATGCTCTGCCGGGAAAAGGAGGGACAATCTCCTCCTGGACCAGTCAGATCTGATTTGACAGTACACTCACACAAAAATAAAATAAAATTTAAAAAAAAAAAACACTGGCCAAGAAACCCTCATGGAGAAGCTCTACTCTGACAAACACATTCACCATGAGCTGGACTCGATGGCATAAGATTGTTGTTGCTGGGTGTTTTGTTTGCTATGTATCATGCACCTCATCTAGAAGCAGGTTAACGATTGAGCAAGAGTGCTCAAGGTCTGGAGAGTAAACATATAGGGTCAAGTTTAACACTCGGCCACTTGTTAGCAGTGTGTGCTTGGGTTCGGTGTTTTGCCCTTATAAACATCCTTTTCCACACCTGGAAAATTGTGACAAATATTGCCAGAGAGTATCATGTGATTGTTGTTGTTGTTATGTGCGACCCATAGCAACCCCGTGTGCAAAAGCTTTGGACCCTGCTTTGCCCTAAGCCAACCTCACTGTCTCTGACATACCTACTCCCATTACTCTAGTTACTGAGTCAATCCATCTCCTCAAAGGTCTTCCCTCTCTTGCACTGTCCCTCCAACCTCCCAAGCATGATGTCCCTCTCCAAGGACTGGTCCCTCCTTGGAACATGTCCAAAGTATGTGAGACGAAGCTTCAGAATCCTTGTTTCCAAGGAGCAGCCTGGTTTCACCCTCTCTAGGGCAAACCTATTTGTTCTCCAAGTAGTCCGTGGTATATTCAATACTCTTCTCCAGCACCACAGCTCAAAGGCCTCAATTCTCCCTCTATCATGATTGTTATGAAGATGAAAAAAAAAACAACACAACAAACCAACCCCAAATTCACTGCCATTGAGTCAGTCCCAACTCACAATGACCCCTATCATGTTCCACAGGCTGTAAATATTAACAAGAGGAGGCCGTTTCGATGTTTTCCTGTGGAACAGCAGATAAGTTTGAACTGCAAACCTTTAGGTTAGTGACTCAATACTCAACCTATTATACCATTAGGACTCCTACATGAAGAATAAAGGTGGCAAATGGTAGTATCTCTCTAAGAGCTGGTGGAAGGATGAAACATGATCATGCATGTAAAAATGTTCAATGCAACACACAGGACACAGCATCTGCTGAGCAGGAGTTGGTCATCATTCTTATGTGTCTCCTGGATAGTTCGCACACTGGTTACCACACTTGGCCACTGCCCGAAGGGGTGGAGGTTCAAGTTCACGTAGAAGTGCTTCAGAAAAAAATCCTAATAACTCACTTCTGAACAATCAGTCACTGAGAACCCCAAGAAGCACAGCAAACTCTGACACACGGGGTTCCCTTGAGCCATGGCTGACACAGTGGCCACCAGTTATTATCACGTGGTGGACACAGAGCCAGCTTCCATGCTAGGTGATGAGGGTTATTCCCTCCCTGATCATGGCAGGGAGGAGAGGAGGCATGGACGCCACCCAGAGTGATCTTGAATCACACTCTAAGTCAGACTTTCTATCCAACAATGACAGCATACACGCAGCGAAACGGCACTAGCCCAGCGGAGGGCTGCAGAGCACTAGGAGGGCATCGGGTGGAATGAAAGGGGCTCTGCAGGGTCCCCTGGGCTAGAAAGCCTGGCAACCAGACATTGTCTCAGCTCCAAGTCTCCAACGGGAAGCGTGTGCCCTTGGTTTCATGGCTGGGTAGTTTAGTGCCACTCATTTGCCAACAAGTTAATGAGGGACCAGATTAATCTTGCAGAGCCAGGTTTTACAATCCAGGGGAGGGCTTTACACAGTTTTATGGTGGAGGGGCATGATTAACAAGAAAGTTGCCAGAAGCATTAATACAGCTGGAAAATTCTCCCTGAGGGGTCTTTTGGGGATCAGAGTAGAAGGGGGTGCTGTCTCTGGAATGACTCACAGAGTGGAGTTCAGTTCATAAGGGTGCTCTTGGGTGAACTGTAAGGAGGAATGTCATCAAGCATCTCCTAGGAGCAGGAGACGACCTCATTTTAGCTGTTAAATTCACTCTCCATCCTCCTACAACTGTAAGAAGCTGTAACAGTGACTGACAGCCAAATGAGCCTGAAATACCAACAGTCCCCCTTCCAGAATCATTCATTTTGGACAAGTTGAGAAGATTCGTTTTGGACAGGTTTACGTTTGAACTGATCCACTGGCACAAGTGGGATTCAAGAAAGAGAGAAGTCAGAGAAGACCTGACAATCAGGGAAGACTTCCTTCAGGAGAGGGATGCAGACTGGAGTCACTGGGAAGGCTGGTGGTGAGCAGGCATCCCAGAGTGGACACAGCACAGACAATGACAGGGAACTGGGGCAGGCAAAGAGGGGCTTCCTAAGGATGGAGTCAATGAACTAAAGCAACTGGCACAGGACCTGCAGCTGATGTCTCCCTGACACACTGAGAAACAGGGAAAAGGTTTAAAGTCACTAAAGGCAGACAGGGTAAAAGGTCTAGATACCTACAGAATCATGAGGAAAAGTTCTGAAAAATGAAGATTCTTGGGTACAAGTAGTCCCTGAGGACAACACTCAGGAAGTTCCAGGGTTTTTTATACACACCCGCTGGTGAGTCTGCAGGCCTTTACACCTGTGATAACCAGCTCCTACAAAACCAGAGTTGTCAGCAGTAAAAGACATGAAATTAGCTCTGCGGTCTTCAAAGTATCTTCATGGAGTTTCTGTCCTGGGCCCTCCAGCAAGCCTGTGAGACAGGAGGGAGAACTGTCCCCACTTCTCAGAGGTAGGAAGTAGGCACGGAGGGTCCCTCAAAGTCACACAGTGAGCAGGTGGGAAGATCCAGCTTGCAATAAGCCAAGGTCTTCTAGTCATGGATCGCAGATCCTCTTCACCAAAACAGAGTGCACTGCAGTATTAGTTCTCCTAGCCTTGACGATGCAGGGACACCAAGAGGGGCATATCTGGATGCTGGCATCACCTTCATATGGGCATTGTCTCTCTGACACTCCAGCCAAGTGCTCCTGACCCTACAGGCATCCACGCCAACCCAGAGTCAGCATGCCAGGGATGGGACATCACCCTCCAACATGCATGGCTCTCGGGCAGCCCCACGCTCCTTTCTCCTTCGGCCATCTGCTTCCCTCATCAGGCCCCCATCTTAATTTTATTCATTTGATTTATTAACATCTAAGTGGCAGAGTCATCCTGGTCAGCACGGCCAATCAATTCCAGGGTTTAATTTGGTTTTTCCTGATTGGGTCTCTGGTCACTGTCTCCCAGCTCACCAAAATCAATACTTTCACCTTGTGCTTCAAAGTCAGGTCGTCTGCAGGGGCCTGGCCTGGTCCCCAGGACTTACCGCTGCAGCAAAAATGCCACCCCTCTTTCTGTTCTAACCCTTCTACCACTCTCCCCCGGCAGCGCCCCATTCCAGACCAGAAGTGGCAGGCCTGGCTCCCATCTCCAGGAGGATGGTAGCCCCATGCATCCAAGCTGCCATGTTGTTGCTTGTCTTAGGAAAGCAGGAAAAACATCACAACTCCATAGACCAAGACATCAGGACCACAGTCCATGCACTGCACTGCCATGCGGAGGTTCCACTGGGCCTGCTCTGGCTGTGGGCAAGCCCTCAAACACCTCTGGGTCTCTATTTCCTCATCTGTGAAATGGCCATTAAATGCTAATACAGGAAGGGAGGGATATGACATCACAGTGCTCAAAAACCAGACTGCAGAGTCTAAGTTGCCTGTCTCTCACCCCTCCATGCTCGACGCCCACATGGGAGTCTCAGATGGATTCTGTCCGATTCTGTCCAGCCTTTCCACACGCTGCTCTCTCCAGCTGGACTGAAGGTCCCAGAGGGACAGGCGTCACACGTGTCCTAGCTCCACATCTGTACCAAAAGCCCCAAAACAGGATGAGACTCACAGAGAGAGTCCAGTCCTGCAAGGCCAGACAGCATCTTACCTCTCCCAGTGGCTGCACACGTTGGGGTCCTCGGGGTTCAGGGAGATGGCAGTTTGCAGGAGGGAGGTGAAAATCAGAACAGTGGCAGTGAGCGCCATCCCGGCCCCTGTGCGGGAGAACAAAGGAGGCAGCGTCATTAATCAGAGCATTTTCCTGGGCATCTGTTTGGCGCTGAGACTTCTCACACGAGGCGGCAGAACAGACTCGCCAAGCAGACTAAGTTTCCCATCATCCGGGAGTAATGAGCTTTTGCTATTTCACACGCGCAGGCTTTGACTAACGCGGCAACAGTTCACCAGGGCTGAGTAACGGAGGAGTGGGAGGGCTGAGTCAGGGAAAACCGGCTTTCGAGCTGGGGTGTCTCTAAGTTTTGAGCATCGTGGAATATCGCTTTAAGACTGTAATCAAAGTTACAACGTTCTCTCCAAGAAATAAGCTCAAATGCACAACAATCTGGTTATCATTTCGGGGCATCCTCAGCCCTCCTATCCAAGCAGAGAGCCAAGACCCACTGCTCTGAACGACTCCCAAGGCACCTCTCCTCCCGTGTCCCTTCTCCCTTCTCCTGGCTGAGCTCTGTCCTTCCACTTCAAGTGACCCCAGTCTGGTGGCTTCGTGGGTAACAAGTTGTGCCGCCAACTCAAATGCAGGCAATTCAAATCCACCAGGTGTTCTGTGGAAGAAATATGGGCAATCTTCTGTGCAACTTACAGCCTCTGAAAACCTGCTGGGGGTCAGCCATGGATGGGTTCTGACTGGATGGAAAGGACTTGAGTTTTGAGTTGGTATGGAGTGAACTAAAACAAACAATCAATCCACTATCCCACTTGAGTCAGGTTTGTATCACTGCTGACCTTGTAAATCCTTATGGGAGGAGACTTTCCATGCTTCCTCCTGAAGCCACTGGAAGACTCAAACTACCAATCTTTAGTCAGATGCTTGTTATGCACCATCCAGTCAGAAGCAACTCATAGCTGACCCTCCAGAGGGTTTTCAGAGGCTGTAAATCACACGGGAGGAGACTGCCCATATTTCTTATGTGGAGCAGCTGGTGGATTTGAACCAAGTGCCTTTGAGTTGGTTATGCAGCTCCTTATCCATTAGTTCAATACAAAAAAGCACTGCTCAACCAAGGGCTCCTACATAGACTGAATCATGTCCCCCCAAAATAAGTGTTGTAAATCTTAACCTTGGTACTTGTCATTAAAACCCCAACTGGGAATGGATTTTCTTAGTTAATATAACAATATTGTTGTTGTTATGTACTATTGAGTCAGAAACGACTCAGCCAATCTTCCGGTGGGTTTTCAGACACAGCAAATTGCATGGAAGGAGACTGCCCACCTTTCTCCTGTGGGGCAGCTGTACCTTCTGGTTGACAGCACAGTTCCTTCCCAGTAGCCATTAGAGCTACATGAGAGAGTTTTTATGTAGGCTGTATCTTGGGTCAATCTCTTTTTAGCTATAAAAGGAGCAGATGAAGAAAGCAGGAATGGGGAGAGATAGATGCCACACCACATGAAGATCATCAAGGACCCAAGGAACAAAGACCTCCCCCAGAGGTGACACAGAGAGATTAAGGCTTCCTTAGGGCTGAGGCCCTCAGTTCTCACTTCCAACTTCCTAACTGGTCAAAGAACAAATTTCTGTTTATCGAAGCCATACGCTTGTGGTAATTCAGTACTAAATAACTAACACTCTCTCCACTTCCTCCAGCCTCCGTGGGGCATGGTGAGGCCCTGGGGTGGAAAGCTGAGCTGAGGAAGCCTCCCAGGAAGTCGTGGTGAGGGAAGCTGCCCAGGAGCCTAGGCCTTCTTTCTCTTGCCTGTTGTCTGATGTCAGTCACATAAACCAGGAGTGACTAAGCCCTCGCGTGTCATCATTCTCAGTGAGGCGGGGACAGGTGTGCATGACAAGCTCACACACTCTAGGAAGGAAATTCAAGGAAGAAGCCTGCAGCATCTGAACTGGACTCTGAAACTGAGTGACACAGTGACCATTACAAGGGGCCTGAACACGGCGGAGAAGGTGAGGATCATGCAGCACAGGAAAACGTTTCACTCTATTGTCCACAGGGTCGCTAGGAGTCCTAGTTGACCAACATTAATAACAACAGAAAGTATAGCCTGTGGCAGATGTGAAATGTCTACACAGCCTGACAACAACCCCCCTTAACAGCCCAAACTGAGAGGTCCTGAACAAGGGTTCCTCATCCTCACACAAAGTCACAAAGGATCATGAAGGCGGGAGTGGCTGACATGGCCCCACAGGGGCCCCTCTGCCTCACGAATGCCCTGTCTTACAAGCTTAGAGAACTTCCAGTCCAAAGGCCCCCGCCTTGGTGAGCCGCAGTGGGATGTGCTGGGATTCATATGTTTAGGAGTACTGCCTCTATATACAGTGAATTCAGTGACTCAGAAAGACAGCCCTGTTTTCCATTTGCGCGCGCGCGCGCACACACACACACACACTATCATGGTTTACTTAAAAGCCTCCCTGAAGTCAGAGTCACTTTTCTTTTCAATCAGCAATACTGAAAAATGCAGCTCCTAATAAGCCGGAGGGAGGGTGGAGGTGGTGTATAAAATATTTTGACATGAGAAAGGGGTCCTCAGACTTGAAATGGCTGGGGATCTAGTAGTACCTTACTCCATGAGCTGACAGACAAGGAAGCACTAACTCTATCTTGGGGGACAAATAAGAGTGGTACATATTTTGCACACACCCCCATTTGTACCCAGAGAGAAGCTAAACGGGGTGCTTTTCTTCGTGAAAGGTTAAACACCCTCCACCCCCTCCCCAGCCCTCAATCATTTCCTTATTAAACACTTTCTTAGCAGCATCTCCAAAGATAAACAAATTGTCATAAATTCTGTATAACCGTGGGGTTCCAAGTTAATGATTAATGGTTTAGTGTGTGGTTTTGTTGGGGTTTTTTTTTCTGCTCTCTATTTAAGATCTGGAAGTAATCTAACTAAATGCAATCTGGAGAACAGTAAAGCATGGAGAAATCTTGTGTGTCTTCCCAATTGTGGGGGATCTGGACATAAGTAAATTACAGCCTCTTGTCTATCATCTACCCACTCAACTGACACCCAGGCATCAAAAACCTAATCAGCACTTGAACCAAAGACCCTGACTGAATTGAAATCGATACATCATGAGGGCTGCAAAGGACCATTTCAATCCATTCTCCCCAGGGAGGAGAAGAAAGAGTCTAGAGGTGAGAAAGCACTTGTTCAGAACTTGACATTGAATTTTAAGTAGGGTCAAGAGGAGAACAAACATCTGCTTCCATGTGGGGTTTGGGTAGATCAGACATCGAACAAAGAAGTAAGCGAACGACACTTCTCTAGAAGGGAGGCTGTAATCAACTGTAGAGAACGCCTCATGGAGGTGCTCTCCATGGTCCTGACTCATCACGCCTGCTGTTCCTGTTCTCTCCAACATCTTCTCAAGGGAACCCCTGACAGTATGTTAATCTTACTAAGTTTAGAATAGCAAAAGTGAGGCCACCTGGACCAAGAGAAGATCCAAAATTGCTCCTTTATCTCCCTGTGCTCCATGGTGATGGGAGAGGAATAAGAGAGGGAAGTAATGTGGACCAATGCTATCATTTAGGAGATCTTTGTAAATCCTCACTTTCTTCTCTCGGAGTCAGGCCTGGACAGGACTATTCATCTGACTCCCACTAGCAGTGAAGTGCATGGAAACGAGAGAACAGAGAGGATGATGAATGTTTAGATGGACACACAGGAAGTGGAGAAGAACTGGCAGCAAAAGCACCATAGCCAGCTAGGGGTGTCTTGTAGATTGCATTCTGTCCCCCCAAGAGAGATATGCTGAAGTACTGGCTCCCTGAACCTGGAATGAGATTGTGTTTAGAAAAAAACAACAAAAAAAACCCCAAACCTTTTGAGACATTATCAGTTAACATAAGATCAATATAGTGGGTCCTAAAAAAGCAAAACAAACATTAAGCCCACTGCCCTCAAGTCAATTCTAACTCATGGTAAGTGACTGGGTTTCTGAGGCTGTGACTCTTTATAGGAAGAGTCTGTCAAATCTTTCTCCTGTGGAGTGGCTGGTAGATTCAAACTGGCTGGCTTTCAGTCAACATTCTAACCCACAGTACACAGTACAGCTACCAGGGCATCTTCCAATATGGCTAATATCTTAGAAAATAAGTGACACAGATATAAGGAGTCCCCGACTTACAACTGCACTCATCAGAATAAAAAGTTGAAGACTATGCAAAATACATACTATGTTGTACATACAGAGTCACACATGCTCGATCCATTCCTGTGACTATACTAGGGTTCACAGAGCAGGTGAACTATGCAGTAAGCACGGGCCCTGTGCATTCGCCCCCTAGCTTTGCACCACCCCATCACTACTGTTCACAGAGGAGGAGGGGTGGTCAGCCTACGGGTGGAAGAGATAATGACCTCTAGGATGTTTGCTTCGAACTTGACCCCATCTAAAAGATGTAACCATATTACTTGTTCCTTGTTCCCTCTAGTCATGTTGGTCTTCTCATTTGCTCATTCTCACGCTAAGCCCTACTCACACCATCTTCTTGGCCAGAACATTCTTCCTCAGATCTGCATAACCAAATATCACCCATTCAAGTTCAGCTCGGTCTCCCAGTTCTGCATATCCCCCCTGCAGGGTTTGGCAAAATGTGTTGACACTGATGGAGCACCAACTATGTGCCCGAGACTTTACTGCATGAGGGTCACACAGTCCAGCACCCCATACCTCCCATCTTCACTGCCATCTTTCCCAGCATGTTCACATCATCTTACCTACCTGACTGTGAGCACCCAAAAGTAGAGTCACACCCTTGGCTGCCTTCTAGGAAATGATTCTAGGGAAGATGTCTCTACTTGTCTTGGACACATCACAGAGGTGGACTGAGGAGCAATCAGGGAAGGAGGTAGGACTGTCTGCACTGGGGAAACTCATTCATTTTCATGGGACTTCCCTGGTGGCCTTCTCGGCCCACACGTCCTCTTGAGAACATAGATCCCAAAGACATACACTTACAAAATGAGTAAAAATCAATTCTCCCACAGTGGTTATTAGGCTGACTCCATT